GCGTCGCCCTGCCCTGCTGCCCGCGCGTCGCCCTGCCCTGCTGACCGCGCGCCGTCCTGCCCTGCAGCCCGCGCGCCGCCCTGCCCTGCAGCCCGCGTGCCGTCCTTCCCTGCAGCCCGCGCGCCGCCCTGCCCTGCAGCCCGCGTGTCGTCCTGCCTTGCAGCCCGCGCGCCGCCCTGCCCTGCAGCCTGCGCGCTGCCCTGCCCTGCAGCCCGTGCGCTGCCCTTCCACTACAGCGACTACCGCTACTGCTAGAGCTGCAACTACAGCGGTCGCTTCTGACGCCGTTGCGCCGCTGATACTGACTGCCACTGCCTGTCATGGCCACTATCACAGTTGTAGCATCGTCTGGCGGTGGACAGCAGCAGCAGTGTCAGCCGGAGACTCAATCGCCGCAGCAGCTTCGCGAGTGGGTTGTTCGGCGAGGCCGCTCTGGTCCTGGAGCTAGGGATTTCACGCGTGCTCGTGATACTGGACAGCAGCGGCAGTCTTGTAGCCAGGAGACTCTCTCGCCCAGCAGCTTCTTGAGTGGGTTATTCAGCGAGGCCGTCCTGGTGGTGGAGGTTATGGTGCTGGAGGTACTAGACAGCAGCGGTAGCATCGTCAGTAGGAGACCCTCTCACCGCAGCAGCTTCGCGAGTGGGTTTCTCAGCGACACGTCCCTGGTAGTGCAGAGGCTACTAGTCTAGGTGCCTGTGAGCTTGGTAGCACAGGTGCAATTTCTGTAGAGGCTTTACACACCTTCACGCTTGACTCAGGCGCGACTCGCTGCTTCTTCCGCGACTGCACCACGGCCATACCGCTCACTACACCTGTCCCGGTCTCTCTGGCTGACCCCTCTGGGGGCCCAGTTGTAGCACGTGCCTCCACAGTTCTCCCGTGTTCGGCAGCCCCCTCAGGCTCCCTCACCCATTTCCACCTCCCCTCGTTCTCTAAGAACTTGGTGAGTAACGCTGTTCTCCAGGACCAGTTTGTCACTGTGACTACTCCTGGGGTTGAGCTTGTGGCGATCTGTACGGACTCACGCACTGGCGAGCACCTCGCCATGTTCACTCGGAGCCCAGGGTCTGGCCTGTACATACTGACCACTGAGTCTGCACAGGTAGCTGCGTCGGATCAGGTAGCTGCGTCGGATCAGGTAGCTGAGTCTCGCACCAGACTCTCCTCTGGCACCACCGTCTTGGTCACCCCTCCCTGCCGTGCCTGCGTGGCATGCACTCTCGTCTCCTTGTCTCTGGCCTCCCCAGGTCCCTGCCCCCGCTCCCGCGCTCGCTTGCACCGCCGTGCCTTCCCTGTGTCGAGGGGCGGCAGCGCGCCGCTCCTCACTCCTCCTCGTTTCCGCCGACCACTGCTCCTCTGCAGACTCTCCACATGGACGTGTGAGGCCCAGCCCGCGTCCGTGGACCGGTAGACCCCCTCCCCCCACAGGGTCCTGCTCCCTCAGGTGTGTCTTAGGTCGACCCAACCCCCTTGGTTGAGCCTTTGGAGGTCTCCTCTGACACCTCTGGCCCAGCTGAGGGGGGTGACCCCGCTGCTGACGACACGGCGGCCACTCGCCGCTCTCCGCGCTTGGAGACCCCTCCTGGTTTTCCGCCTCGACCGTCTTCGCCGCCTCCGCAGCCTGTCGCTGTGGACTCTGGTGCTGCTGGGGGTGGGGACCCTGAGGGTGCGGACTTTGGGGGTGCTGGTTCTGGGAGTGCTGACTCTGGGGGTGCCGGTTCTGGGGGTGCTGACACTGGGGGTCCTGCGAGTCCTAGTGGTGGTGGAGTCGTGGGTGCTTCTGCTGGGGGTTCTGGCGTTGGACAGCAGCAGCAGGCTCGTCGACATGAGACCCTCTCGCCGCAGAAGCTTCGCGACTGGGTTGTTCGGCGAGGCAGACCTGGTGGTGGAGGCTATAGGGCTGCTGGTGCTGGAGGTGCTAGAGCTGCTGGCGCTTGAGGTGCTAGAGCTACTGGTGCTGGAGGTACTGGAGCTGGAGGTGCTGGAGTTACTGGAGCTGCTGGTGCTGGAGGTGCTGGAGTTGCTGGTGCTGGAGGTGCTGGAGCTGCTGGTGCTGGAGCGGCTGGTGCTGGAGGTGCTAGAGCTGCTGGTGCTGGAGGTACTAGAGCTGCTAGTACTGGAGGTGCTGGAGCTGCTGGTGCTGGAGGTGCTGGAGCTGCTGGTGCTGGAGGTACTGGAGCTGCTGGTGCTGGAGGTGCTAGTGCTGGGGGTACTGGAGCTGCTGGTGCTGGAGGTGCTAGAGCTGGAGGTACTGGAGTTGCTGGTGGTGGAGGTGATGGAGCTGTTGGTGCTGGAGCTGCTGGTGCTGGAGGTGCTAGAGCTGGAGGTGCTGGAGGTGCTGGAGCTGCTGGTGCTGGAGGTGCTAGAGCTGGAGGTGCTGGAGGTACTGGAGCTGCTGGTGCTAGAGGTACTAGAGCTGGAGGTGCTGGTGCTGGAGGTACTGCTGCTAGAGGTGCTGCTTGTGCTGGAGGTGCTGGAGCTGCTGGTGCTGGAGGTGCTGCTGCTGCTAGTGCTTTAGGTACTGGAGCTACTGGTGCGCTTCGCCACCTTCTCGGTCTCCCGCCAGCTGCTACTGACTTCCCTGTCGCTGGTACTACTCCTCCGTTACTGTTCCCACCAACAGACCAGTCTCAGCCACAGCTACTGCCTGGCTCCCCGCTGCCTGCTCCTGCTCCTCACACTGAGGTGACTGAGTCCCTGACTGAGCGTCGTGAGCCTGAGACTCGTGCTTCCACACCTGTTCGTGCTCGTCGTGTTGCCCGTCCTCGTCCTCCACCTGTCCTCGGCACGCACGCTATGGCACTTCGTCCTTCCTCTGTTCCACATCGTGTTGCTCTGCTGTCTCCTCCGTGTCGCAGAATTACACTGTCCAGCTTTCATCCTCAGGGAGGACAGTGTAATGCTGAGACAGCAGAGTTGTTGTAAGGAGATAAGATGGGAAGCGGTGTACAGCGAAACCTGAGCGAGTGGTGGGAAGCAAGTCAGTGGGTGTAATCGAGGATGTGTACAGGGTGGGCTGTGAATGAGGTGTGGAATGCGGTGTGGAGTTGTCCACGGTACATACGCGTGGCATGTCGGATGTGTATGAGTGTGTTTGGTGTGGGAATGTTGCCTTTCTCTGTTCTGATTGTGTGTTCAGCATCACAGCGAGGAGCTGCAAACGCGGACAAGTGCAGCAACCGCCAGCTGGCTAGTGGAGCAAACGAGCATGCGGTGGCCAGGACAGCTGGGCCCAAGACCCTTGCAACTGGTCATGCAGACACAAACCGCAGGCGACTTGTACAGAGCCTCGGGCGCTCCCGAGCCTCGCTACAGTGTGATGGGTGTTTGTTTGTATGTGCGTTCCTTCTCAGCAGCTAGAGCTCCGTGCTAGGCAAACATCTTCTTGTACATAGGATTTCCTAGGGGTTGAGCTCGCTGCTTCTTTGTTTGTTTCCTGGATTTCTGATAATAGATCTTGTTAAACCAAACACAGTCTCAGAGTAGGCGGGAGCCAAACAGAGCCTACCGTCATCGCCCGGATATAAGACATATATGTCTTATCTCATACACTAGAAAAAATGTATGGGTTGTCTTGTATTTGGTACGGTTTAGGGTGTCTTATAAGTCTTATAAATGGTCAAAAATCCGTTTAGAAGATACCCCCTCTTTTACAATTGCCCCTAACCCCTACACTGGCTTAACTCGTACACACAAATAGGTGTCTTATAATGAGGCTACCCCGTTTATAAGAGACACCCGGATAATAGACACCCCCTGTCTTCTATTCAACACTGTCTTATATCCGGGTGATGACGGTAGGTTGATGGGTTAGTGAGCTTTTTCGACAAACAAAGAAGGTGAGGGCAGAGCTGCGACCAGGCCCTACGATATCAGGAATTTTCCCCTGAAATTCCTGATTTTCAGCCTACTTTTGTGTACCTACCCTGATTTTTCAGTGTGTAGATTTTTCTGAGACTGATTTTTCAGCCTTCATTTCATAGTTAACACTGAGCTTTCAGTCTTTTATCGAAGTGCACACTGAATGCACATTCTAATTCCTTCCTGAAAAGTCCCGTGGTGACCAGCTCTTATACAATTTCCATTCGTATACAGTAAAAACTAACCGCTAACTGCTTCCAGTGTCTCAGTTGTTAGTAGAATCGCGTCGAAGGGTAAGGTCCAAGGTTCGTTTCCCTGGGCTGGGATTACTCGTTACAACGTAAACCTCTTTCGCAGATAATGTGTGTAAGAAAATCAGTGTTGATTTTTTAACAACCCTGAAAAATCAGGCTTTTTTTTTAGGAACACTGAAAATCAGCCTTTTTTTCACAGGGACCCTGATGCATCAACGTCCCTAAAAGTGAATCTGAGGGCCTGGCTGCGACGGGAGGAGTGCGGAGAAGTCGCAGGGTCAGCCAGTGTGGGGCGGACCCCTTCACCGGCAGTGGCGCCGGGAAGGGAACCCTACACCGCGCCGCATCGGAGGCACAGCATGAGCAACCTGCCGAGCGGAACCCGCGGACTTCCAGGAAGTATCACGAAACTACCCCTGGTAGAAACAGCAGCGCCGGGCTTATCCGAGGCCTGCGCTTTTATCCGGGGGCTTACGGTAATTCAAGGTGTTGACTTGCAGGCACTTCATGCCGCCCAGCCTTCATGCCCTGGCTGTGGGGGAAGATGAAGGGGATTCAGTGTGCGTGCGTGCTGATTGCGACTTAGAGAGGTGTGATGATGTAATGGATGATGTTGTCAGTCCAGCTGCGGAGAGGATGTAATGCCACGTGTGCATCAGTGGGCTGGTTCCTCTGGTGTGCGTGCGAGCTGATCGTGGTGGATAATGTTGTGAGCCTAGTTGCGGAAAAGATCTGCTAGTCCACTGAGAAGGTGGTCACCCAGTGTCATATACGATAACCATTTTTTTTTCCATAAGTGTTCACAAGAAAACCATACTGAAAAATAAAAAGGGTGCATGGTCAATACCAGCCTTGTAATCAGTGTCATAAGGGTGCATCACCCTGTTATCCAGAGGCCCCGCCGCCCACTGGCAGATCCTTGAGCAGGGACACCTTGAGCACGAAGGGGTTCTGCTCCAGCTGCTCTACGAGTGACGCCAGCAGCGCGGGGTACAGCGCGGAGAACTTGCCGTGGTCCACGAAGCCGCTGCTGTCAAAGTCAGCTACGGTGAAGTGGCAGGAGAGGAGCGAGTCCATCTGCTGCGGCGTCAGCCCCCACATCATGAACCCCTTCCGCAACCCGCTCATGACGTCAGCGCGTGACAGCTGGCCGGCGTTGCTGACGTCCAAGTCAGCGAAGGACTCGCTGGCCATCTTCTGGAGAGGCTCTTTGCTCGCGAGGATCTGGCGAGGGACGAGGAGGTGGGAGGGCAAGCACGCGCGGCAAGGAGCAGGGGCGGGCAATGGGGGTGGGAGTGAGGGGGAACTGGGGAACGACGGAACTGGGGAGGAAGGGATACGGGGAGCCCTGCTGGAAGCATCATGTGAGTGCGGAGAATAGGGGGGGAGGGGGGGATTGCGTGCGCGTGTGCGCAACCTTTCTAAGGCTGCGCGCGCTGAGCGCGATCGACGCCTCCCGCGCGAAAGCAGGCTGCTCCTTCGTGTCGAGAAGGTCCGCCATGCCCGTCACGAGCTGCACGAAGAGCTCGTTGAACTGCTCGCGCCCCATCTCCTCCGCTCCCGCCGCGTACCTCTCCAGCAGCGCCGACAGCGTCGCCTCCGCCACTGGCAGGTGGGAGGTGATGGGAGCAGTGCGAGGTGATGGGAGCAGTGCGAGGTGATGGGAGCAGTGCGAGGTGATGGGAGCAGTGCGAGGTGATGGGAGAAGTGGGAGGTGATGGGAGCAGTGCGAGGTGATGGGAGCAGTGCGAGGTGATGGGAGCAGTGCGAGGTGATGGGAGCAGTGCGAGGTGATGGGAGCAGTGCGAGGTGATGGGAGCAGTGCGAGGTGATGGGAGCAGTGCGAGGTGATGGGAGCAGTGCGAGGTGATGGGAGAAAGTGCGAGGTGATGGGAGCAGTGCGAGGTGATGGGAGAAAGTGCGAGGTGATGGGAGCAGTGCGAGGTGATCGGAGCAGTGCGAGGTGATGGGAGCAGTGCGAGGTGATGGGAGCAGTGCGAGGTGATGGGAGCAGTGCGAGGTGATGGGAGCAGTGCGAGGTGATGGGAGCAGTGCGAGGTGATGGGAGCAGTGCGAGGTGATGGGAGCAGTGCGAGGTGATGGGAGCAGTGCGAGGTGATGGGAGCAGTGCGAGGTGATGGGAGCAGTGCGAGGTGATGGGAGAAAGTGCGAGGTGATGGGAGCAGTGCGAGGTGATGGGAGAAAGTGCGAGGTGATGGGAGCAGTGCGAGGTGATCGGAGCAGTGCGAGGTGATGGGAGCAGTGCGAGGTGATGGGAGCAGTGCGAGGTGATGGGAGCAGTGCGAGGTGATGGGAGCAGTGCGAGGTGATGGGAGCAGTGCGAGGTGATGGGAGAAAGTGCGAGGTGATGGGAGCAGTGCGAGGTGATGGGAGAAAGTGCGAGGTGATGGGAGCAGTGCGAGGTGATCGGAGCAGTGCGAGGTGATGGGAGCAGTGGGAGATCATGCCAATGGGAGCAGTCGGGCGGGCGGGTTGAGAGGGAGAGGAAGGGAAGGAGAGGGAAGCGGACGGGGGGGAGGACTGAGTGACGATACCAGACTACAAATCACCTACCTCTCATACGGAATTAAATACGAGCAGGGCGTGTTGAGGTATTAGAGCCATAGAAGCGCAGAATAGACGCACGGGACGCACGGCGGCAACGCAAGGGGCAGTGTGGGCGGCGGCAGACCTTGGGGAGGCGGCGTGCCTTCGATGCCGAGGGCAGCGAGCACGGGCAGCAAATCCCGCTTGGACAGCTTGCCGCGGCCGCCCCTGTCCATCTGCTTGAACGCCGCCTCCGCCAGCGCCGCCTCCGCTCGCTGCTCCGCGCTAGTTGGCGAGTAGCGCATCGCCCCGCAGGTGAACACCTGCAACAGCAGCGGCGCCACTGGGGGATTGCGTGGGGAGGAGGGGAGAAGGAGGAGGGGAGAAGGGGGAGGAGGTGGGGGTGGGGCAATCCGCGCGGCATTGCAAACGGGCCCATGACCGACCGAGCCACGCTTGGTCGACGGATATGGAGACGCGCGGCGGCGCGCGGCGGCGCGCGAAATGAACGGAGTGGCGTCGAGACATTCCCGCGCATCGGAAGCAGCATATGCGACGCATGAGCAGCAGTGGTCTGACCTGCGTACGTCGCGGCGATCTTGACGATATTGAGCAACCCTAGCGACAAGGCGACGAAGTGGTCCCTGTCCAGCTCGCCCGTCTCGTCGCCTTCGTTTTCGCCCGTCTCGAACGCCTCGTCCACCGCGCGGTCCAACTCCGCACTGCCGCCCGGCTCCGGCAGCCCCGCCAGCCACGCCAAGCGCAGAAACGCCAGGCGCAGCTCCGCGCGGCTCACTTTGCCTCTCTTGTCGGCGTCGAGCTCATCGAAGGCCGCCGTGAGGTGCGCCTTGAGCGTCGCGTCGTCCGCCAGCTCGAGCTTGCCGGCCGGCCTTGGGCTGCTTGCGGACTTTCTGAAGGACATGGTGGGTCGCCGTGGGACGCTGGTGGTACTGATGAGTTGTGGTATGATGCGAGTCCCATCGCCCGATAGTAGGAGAATTTATGGTATTCCGCGAGTACTACTGCTGGGCGCGCGGGGCCTGGGCTTCGCTCGGCTGGGAGTTTGATGGGACTAGGGCGCTGCGGCGAGAGGGTGGAGTGTGGAAGTGGGAACGCGTCCTGGCCTTGCTGTAGCGTGATGTGGTACCCAATGGGCGCTGCCGTCCAAAGAAGTGGACGTAAACGGCAGTTATGTGGGAATTATTAGGCGACACCCATGAGTGGCTGTTCTGTCAAAACTAGGTGGCACACGGGCCGTGATGTTGTTCACAATGGGCGCTGCCGTCAAACGAAGTGGACGTGAATGGCTGTTGGTATGTGAGAATTGAGAATTATTAGGCAGCACTCGTGAGTGGATGTTCTTTCGAAATTGCGTGGCGCACGTGAGTGTCTTTTCTGTGGGAGCTCGGGATCACATGTTTCTGATGTGGCTTCTTCACGATGGTGGATCCCAATCTTCCAATATCATGATCAGGTCTATTGGGTTAGGCTCGGTTACAGCAGGCGAATCGTAGTGAAAAGCGGTACAGAAAGATTCTGAGAAGTCGAGGGACACCACCACCTCTGGTCAGCGTCACAGACATCGCAAATCGCGTTCAATAGTTTCCAAGGGCCGTTTGAAGAGCCAATCAACCACTTCCGCTCAATTTGTTCCGCCATTTTTCCTCGAATACACACCACCCACCTCGTCACCTGACCCAAGCCAAGCTTTTCATGGCGGAGTGGAGTTGCTTACCCTCCTTGTCCGCGGTCGTCGTCATCGGTCCCAGCGGTTGCGGGAAAACGTGAGGTAGCGCCGTGCTGTGTCGCGCGCGTGTTTTTCGCGCGTGTATTGACGCGCGTTTGTCGCGCGTGTTTGTCGCGCGTGTTTCGCACAGCGTATCGATGGACGCGATGAACCTTCGTTGCATGTCAACTCAGCGACGCTTCTCATTCTCCTCCATCCCAAACGGCCGCGCAGGTTTGTCGCGCGGGTTCGTCGCAACGGCCGTCCTTGTGTCTCCTCAGGGCCAGGGATGGACTCCCAGCTCGCGGAGCGACGTGGTTCGGACTGGAGTAATGCTTACTAGTTACATTATTACTCTTACTCTCTTCTTTTTTTCGTCGGATGCTGAGTGGTCGGCTGTGGTCAGGCGCGTGGGGAGTCGCGTGGCGGAGAGGCTGGGTTGGGAGTTCCACGACGCTGATGACTTCCACTCGCAGTGCAATAAAGGTAGATGGGATGGGGTGGGGTGGGATGGGATGAGATGAGGTAGGCTGGGGTGGGCGTTCCACCACGCTGATGCCTTCCACTCGCCAGAGAATGAAGGTGGTTGAGATGGTGGGGTGGGGTGGGATGAGATAGGATTGGGTAGGATAGGGTGCGGTGGGGTGAGTTCGGATGAGGTGGGATGGGCGGAGTGGCGTCCGCCGTATTGTTCCCTATCCTTTGTTAGGGTTGGTTCGCCCAACCACGGAACCTACGGCGAAAGCTTCTACGACGGCGGAATGACGGCGAAATGGAAGCATGTGGATGATTCTAGGTGAAACGGTGGAAATCGGCCTACGGTGGAGAATGGAAGCTACGGCGTGAGAAGCGAGAGAGAAATCGGGAAGAAACTAGAGAAATGGAGGAAGAAGAGTGAAGAAGTATCGAGATTGAAGTTGACGAGGGGAAATTGTGGTTCGAGCTCAAGGCGTGTTCGAGAAGGTTCCAGATTCGGACTTGAGGAGTGTTCGGTGCATTCGGTTCGGTTCCGTGTGCGACTCGGGGTGAAACGAGGCGCACGCGGTTACTTGGGAAACAAGTGAAGTTACGAATCGCATTTTGTGTCTTGCTTGACTATAAAATTGCTTGTACTCATTCTGGAAAATACAACATTGAAACCAATCAGATTCTGAAAATTGCTGAAGTGTGTATTGACAACTTCAAGCAGAGCTGCGCATATCGTTGGATTCGTGAGATCGTGGAGAACACGATAAGCAATAGCAAGTAGACTATTGCCGACTAAGGTGTTTACGATCCTAAGAACTGGTATCAGAGCTTGGCGAACGGGCGCGTCGATCGCGGTGAATTCACTTGGTGCGCTAAGTGAAATTAGTGGAGAAGAGGAGTCGTTCACGCCTACGCCATGGGAGACGAGGCGAGTTCGGGTTCCAGTGTGAGTCTTGGAGACCCGCAGTTGAAGGCTCTTCTCGAGGCCCTTGCGAGTGGCCGATTGGTGGCGAAACCGATGATCGGGCTCAGTGAAGCTCAGCGCTTCAATGGAAGCAACTACAACGTGTGGCGGAAGAAGTTTATTCGGAGGGCAGAGGAGGTTGACCTCTTGCCGTACTACCGTCCCGACGAGGAGACGATGGAGGGAGTTGCGTCATCCCCGACGGATACGAAGGAGAAAATAGCGGCGTTCAAAAAACAAAGTAAGCAAGCGTTCTTTCAGCTTTGTCACTCAGTTGCCGATGGAATCGCAGTGGATTTGGACCAGTTTGCAGGGGAGCTGAACTCTGCACAGCGAGCGTGGGAGTACCTGGAGTCCACGTAGATGGGTACGAACGATGTAAACAAGAAGGCGATCAGGAAGCAACTGCTGATGCTGAGCATGGAGAAAAGCGAGAAAATCATCACCTACATCAACAGGGCGAAAAGCTACAACGACGATTTGCGGGTGATGGGAGCCGCGGAGACGGAGCATGAGATGATTGACTATATCATCCAAGGCCTTCCTAAGGAGTGGGAATCCGACATCGGTATGTTTACGTACCAACCGCCGGAGAGTTTGACGAAGCTGCAGGAGATTCTACAGTCGCTTGAGACGATGAAGGAGATGAGGAAAAAGAAAGCGGCAGCAGCAGCTAAGGAATTCGACGAGGAAAGGCTGGCTATGGTGAATGCAATGAAGGCGTTTGGAGCGTGCTACCAGTGTGGAAAAAGGGGGCATAAGGCGATAAACTGCTACGAAAACCCGCGAAGCAGAAACTACAAGGGCAAAGCGATGGAGAACGATAAAGGAGAAAATGAGGGAGCGGAGTGGCAGCATAAACGAGTTTTTGGCGGCAAGTGCGATTATTGTGGGCGCTATGGGCATCGTGCCGCAGAGTGCTACTCCAATCCGAACAGCAGGAGCTACAAGGGTCCGTCGCAGCAGAGGAATGTGGCGGCTAAGGCGAATGTAGCAGAAGCGAACGAGGATGATATGATCCTTGGAGGAGCGCATCGTGCGAACGTGGTGCGTTTACCAAAGGAGGTTCGGCAGACGGACGATCATGAGAAGACGGCATGGTTCATGGACAGCGGATGCACGCGTCACATGACATTCAGGTCAGAATTGGAGGAGTTATCGAATGAGGCTGATAAGAGCGAGGACACGGATGATACGGGAGCAAGTGTGGAGGCAGCAGAGAAGCAGGAAGAGGAGATAGTCACCATGGAGGCAGCAGCAGTGAATGGTGGAGATGGAGATGGTGTCAACACTTTTGCAGCAGCGATCGTGGTTGAAGATGAAGCAGTAAATGCGAAGTGTGTGGGAGTTGAAGCTGTGAAAGGGGACATCATGGTGAAAGGATCAAAGGTGAATGCAACTGCAAAGGGGCGTGTGCTTACGAAAGAGGAACACGTTGAGGGGTACGAGACCCGAGAGGTGTTGGGTGCTAAGATTCCGAGGAGAAGCGAGAGGCTTAAGAAGATGCCTCATGGTTTGGATATCAAGGCGCTCAACTTCAAGACACGTAAGCAGAGGTTCAAGGTGCAGGAGCTGCAGGGGAGCGTGAAGCCGACTTAGACCCTGTGAATGCTACAAGGAGCAGGAAAGCAGTGCGAGTGGTGTTCGTGGTTGACGAACCACAGGGGAGATTGTTAGGGTTGGTTCGCCCAACCACGGAACCTACGGCGAAAGCTTCTACGACGGCGGAATGACGGCGAAATGGAAGCATGTGGATGATTCTAGGTGAAACGGTGGAAATCGGCCTACGGTGGAGAATGGAAGCTACGGCGTGAGAAGCGAGAGAGAAATCGGGAAGAAACTAGAGAAATGGAGGAAGAAGAGTGAAGAAGTATCGAGATTGAAGTTGACGAGGGGAAATTGTGGTTCGAGCTCAAGGCGTGTTCGAGAAGGTTCCAGATTCGGACTTGAGGAGTGTTCGGTGCATTCGGTTCGGTTCCGTGTGCGACTCGGGGTGAAACGAGGCGCACGCGGTTACTTGGGAAACAAGTGAAGTTACGAATCGCATTTTGTGTCTTGCTTGACTATAAAACTGCTTGTACTCATTCTGGAAAATACAACATTGAAACCAATCAGATTCTGAAAATTGCTGAAGTGTGTATTGACAACTTCAAGCAGAGCTGCGCATATCGTTGGATTCGTGAGATCGTGGAGAACACGATAAGCAATAGCAAGTAGACTATTGCCGACTAAGGTGTTTACGATCCTAAGATCCTTCTATTCCCTCCCACCTGCACCCTCCATGTCCCTGCACCATCTCACTGCTGGAGCTCCAGTCTCCCTCTCGCATCCCTCACTGCTCCCACGTCGCACGGCTCATTCTAGTGCACTAGCCATCAACTCAGCACAGAATCCTCGCCCTCCGTCCCACCTCCAATCCAAAGTGATCCATTTTGAGGACTGGGTATCATCACCCAAAGTGGCTCACAGTATCGTCCTGTGTGATTCCCACTGCCTCTGACCACCCCTCACGGTTCAGACAGACACCCGCCCTGCCTCGTGCCGCTGGCGCTCTCCATACCAACCCGCGCCCTTTCTTCCTGCCCCCTCATTTCCCCGCTCTCCCCGCCCTGCATTTCCCTCTCGCCAGCCAAGATGGCAGCAGGCACTCCCCTGTCTGACACCGACCGCCTGTCACCTCACCTAACCGCTCTGCCACCCCTCCCCTCGCCCCGTTCCTCGTCCCCCCTTGGCAGCCAAGATGGCGGCAGGCACTCCCCTGTGCGACGCCGACCGCCTGCCGTGGCTGCTCTCCCTGCACGCTCTGCTCTGCCCCTCGCACGCGCTCCCTCTCCCTCCTCCCTCTCCACACCGGGGATCCCAGACACATGCTCCCCCACAGCACACGTGTCAAGCCCCTGCTGATTCATTCGCGCTGTCCCCTTTATCATGCTCCTCCCCGCCACGCTCCCCCTCTCCTCCCCCGCCCCATCCCTCTGGTGCTGGCGTGCTCCGCCCTCACGCCCGCGTACCGCAACGTGCTGAGGTGGGGAGATGGGTGCAGGTTAGATGGGGATGTGGGGACCGCAGAGGCAGGGGATGTGGGGACCGCAGAGGCAGGGGATGTGGGGACCGCAGAGGCAGGGGATGTGGGGGCAGGGAGGGAAGCGCAGGGCTGGGAGGCATGTGGGGAGAGAGAGAGTGTGTTGATGGGTGCAGGGGGTGCAGAGCATGCTGCCACAGCTGCAAGGGCCAGTGGTGCTGCTTCTGCAGCAGTCAGCAGCCAATGCGGCCAGCCCAGCGAGGGCAGCAACAGCAGCAGCAGCAGCGGCAAGGGAGGTGCATGTGGAAGGGGAGAAACGGGCACTGCGTCATGCAACCACAATGGTCGTGGCAGCACAGGCACATGTCCCGCTGCACCGTGTGCTCCCTTCCTGCCCGCTAACCGTCTCGCTCAGCCGCAGCACACCAGCAGCACAGGCACACAACACTCTGCACCGTGCGCACCCCGCCTGCTCTTCATCCTGCTGGACGTGCCTCCCCTCGTGCTGGCAGACAGGCTAGCCCAGCGGCACCACTCAGAGGGCCACTTCATGCCGCCCTGCCTGCTGCCCTCACAGCTCGCGCTGCTGGCAGTGGGGGACGATGAAGGGGACGTAGTGCGCACGCGTGCTGATCGAGCTTTAGAATGTGTGGTGGATGATGTTGTCAGTGTGGTTGCCGAGAAGATTTAATGCTCAGGTGTTTGAGCAGATTTCCTGTGTGGGATGCTGTTGTGAGGAAGAATCCTGTCACAGTTGCATGTTGGTGTGAGCACAGTACTGTATATGTTGGAAGGGCCAAGTCGTATGAAGAGGAGAATGGCAGTTTTGATGGCAAGTGCTGCAAATTCATTCAATATGCTTATAAAAAAAACTCAGACATTCACGCTAATATGAGTTACTTCACTGTTACCATACCTCAAGGAAATATTTATTAATCGTCACTACCTTCTACCGAAGCAACACCCTCCACACGCTCCCCATCACCTTTGTTTCCAACCTGCTGCTTGCTTCCATCTCCCCCTTCCGATCCACTGTTCCCTCCTTTGCTCGCTGCTCCCGCCCCCCCAGCCCCTTGCAACTGCCCCTCACCCCCTTTCTGCCCGCCCTGCTCCCTCTCCTTCTGTGCCTCGTGCCATGGCAAATGGCAGCTCGCCTCTCTCAAATCCTCCTCTGGACACAATAATGCCAGATTATGCCGCCCACCACACACCGCAAATGCCGCCCGCCACCGGCTTCTCGGCTGCTCAGAGGAGTTGCTGAGAGAGCGGCTGATGCTGCCGAGCCTTCTGTGCAGGTTCGGGTGGTCGTCCGGGTGGAAGGTAGCATCGGGGTCCCCTGGGAGAGGGACTCTGACCAGGTCGCCTGTTGTTACCGAGCCTGCTGGCCCGAGCCTTCCGTCGTCCACTCTGCCAAACTGGAAAGGAAGGGTCGGAGACATGCGGGGCAGTGGGTGCGTATGGGTCAGGTAAGGTGAGTGGATGTGGGAAGTGTGTCTGCTAGTCACAGTGAATATTCACCCATCAACTATGACTCTGAATGCTCATTACCAACAGTGGTCCACGGTGAACATTCGCCCACCAATAGCAACTCACAGTGAACATTCGCCCACCAATAGCAACTCACAGTGAACATTCGCCCACCAATAGCAACTCACAGTGAACATTCGCCCACCAATAGCAACTCACAGTGAACATTCGTCCACCAATAGCAACTCACAGTGAACATTCGCCCACCAATAGCAACTCACAGTGAACATTCGCCCACCAATAGCAACTCACAGTGAACATTCGCCCACCAATAGCAACTCACAGTGAACATTCGCCCACCAATAGCAACTCACAGTGAACATTCGCCCACCAATAGCAACTCACAGTGAACATTCGCCCACCAATAGCAACTCACAGTGAACATTCGCCCACCAATAGCAACTCACAGTGAACATTCGCCCACCAATAGCAACTCACAGTGAACATTCGCCCACCAATAGCAACTCACAGTGAACATTCGCCCACCAATAGCAACTCACAGTGAACATTCGCCCACCAATAGCAACTCACAGTGAACATTCGCCCACCAATAGCAACTCACAGTGAACATTCGCCCACCAATAGCAACTCACAGTGAACATTCGCCCATCAAGCGTGACCACGAGGGAGTGTGTGCCGCCACAGGAGGCCTGCACCACCGTTTCTCCCGCCAGCAGTGTCACCACCGTTGGTACGGCTTTGATTGTCTTATCCTCGCCGAACCCCATTCGCCCGTGCTCCCCTCTCCCCCATGCCCACACCTGTATAGAGAGTGGAAATTAAAGAAAGACAGTGGGGATGGTGAGCGGTAATGGGGGATGCTTGGCGGAGATGGGGGATGATGGCAAGGGTTGACGGGGAAATGGTGAAATGGATCACGACGAGGGAGGGGAGGAAAGGAGAGGAGGGGAGGAAAGGAGAGGAGGGGAAGCGGAGGGGTCTGGGAAGGTGGGGCTACAACTCACTTTCTGATGCGGGTATGAGAAGGTAGGGAAGTCACAGGTGAGTCAGCAGGCTCATGAGCCTGAACCGTCTGGTGCTAGCACCTGACTTACCTCACTGCATCGTACCTGCCTGCTGCCTGCTGCCTGCTGCCTGCTGCCTGCTCACCTGTCTGCTGCCTGCTCACCTGTCTGCTGCCTGCTCACCTGTCTGCTGCCTGCTCACCTGTCTGCTGCCTGCTCACCTGTCTGCTGCCTGCTCACCTGTCTGCTGCCTGCTCACCTGTCTGCTGCCTGCTCACCTGTCTGCTGCCTGCTCACCTGTCTGCTGCCTGCTCACCTGTCTGCTGCCTGCTCACCTGTCTGCTGCCTGCTCACCTGTCTGCTGCCTGCTCACCTGTCTGCTGCCTGCTCACCTGTCTGCTGCCTGCTCACCTGTCTGCTGCCTGCTCACCTGTCCTGAGCGAGTGACTGCCATGGAATGCCACCCTCCTGCTGTTATGTCCACCTGCCATGCCATGCCATGCCATGCCATGCCATGCCATGCCATGCCATGCCATGCCATGCCATGCCATGCCATGCCATGCCATGCCATGCCATGCCATGCCACGCCATGCCACGATATGCCACGCCATGCCACGCCATGCCACGCCATGCCACGCCATGCCATGCCATGCCATGCCATGCCATGCCATGCCATGCCATGCCATGCCATGCCATGCCATGCCATGTCACGCCATGCCATGCATGTGCAGTGCAAGAGTACAGGTGAATAATGAAGAAGGGTAGGGCTGAAGCACAACGAGCAGGGAGGGAAAGGGGCGAGCCAGTGACTGCAAGAGACACTGCAGCAAGGAGGAGGACGGAAGATGTACAAGACACCTCATTCGCGCAAAACCAAATCACACATGCGTGCGGGTGCCTGCACGGGTGAGTGGAGGATCCATGTCTCTGGTTCTGTCTGTCTTATTGCACGCCTGCAGGTGTTGCATCCGAGGGATCAGTACGAATTGCGCTTGCGGTAACCATTTTGCTTGCGCTTGTTCAAGCAGGTCCCCTGCAATGCAAGCGGTGCTGATTTCTGACGCCGAGTCAGAATTAGTTCAATGGAAGCGATGGTGGTGGCTCTCGAGGCAGCGAGCGCGCCTGCGTGTCCCCCGAGCCCAGCTGCCCATACTCACTGCTACTGCACGCCACCACCCACCCGTGCCCACCCACTCCTTCCCACCCACCCAGCCTACACACTCCACCACGCACGCACCACATCAGCCTGGGTGAGTTGAGGCAGCTCCACAGGCAGCGAGCGCGGCTGCGTGTCCCCCGTGCCCAGCTGCCCATACTCGTTGCTGCCCCATGCCACCACTCGGCCGTCCCCCTTCAGTGCCAGGTTGTGAAACGCGCCCACTGCTATGCTCCGCACTCCCCTCAGCCCAGGCACTCTGGCCGGCACCCACACCTGCTTGCTGGTGTGGATGGGGAATGGGGAGGGGGGATGGGGGTGGGGGTTGGGGGATGGGGGTGGGGGGTGGGGGTGGAGAATGGGGAATAAGGGGTGGGGATGGGGATGGGGATGGATAGGGATGTGGATGGGGATGGGGATGGGGATGGAGGATGGAGGATGGGGATGGGGATGGAGGATGTGGATGGGGATGAGCAGCGCGAAAGGCGACTCAGAAGACACCTGAGTCCAAAGTGAGGCAGAGATGAGGCAGAGATGAGGTGGGTAAGGAAGCAGCAGCCAGCCGGTGATGAGGTGGGTAAGGAAGCAGCAGCCAGCCGGTGATGAGGTGGGTAAGGAAGCAGCAGCCAGCCGGTGATGAGGTGGGTAAGGAAGCAGCAGCCAGCCGGTGATGAGGTGGGTAAGGAAGCAGCAGCCAGCCGGTGATGAGGTGGGTAAGGAAGCAGCAGCCAGCCGGTGATGAAGCAACAAGGAACGGAGATTGCAACAAGCACATGCTGTCACAGCCCAGCCCACACAGCCTTGCGCTTCTCTGCTCTCACAGCCCAGCCCACACTGCCTTGCACTTCTCTGCTCTCACAGCCCATCGCTCTCTCCTGCACTCACGCGTCAGCGGGCGGCCAGGGCTGCCCCCACACCCACACCTCGCCCTCCCTCGTCAGCACCACTGAGTGCGTGCCCCCTGCTGCCACCTGGTCATGCGGAGCATGGGTGCATGCATGGGGGGGTGGGGAATGGAAGGACGGGGAGATGCGGGAGTACGGGAGGGTAGGGTATGGGGTTAAGGGCGCATGGGGGGATAGGAGTATGGAGTAGTGGGGATAAGAGACGGGAGACACCAGCGGGAGTGGGGAGGGGGGAGGGGGGGGGAATAGTGAGGAGAGAGAAGAGCAGAAAGAGGGACAATGCGACAAAAGGGAGGGGCAGGGGGGTGGGGGAAGAACAGTAGTGGTTCACCTGCTCGCACCTCCTCTCACCTGCCCTCACCTCCTCACACCTGCCCCTCACCTCGTCTCTCACCTGCCCTCACCTCCTCTCTCACCTGCCCTCACCTCCTCTCACCTGTTTGATGCGCAGCTGGGGCACGCAGGGGAAGGGCGAGAGGATGTCGCGGGCGCTCAGCTTGTTGCCGTGCAGCTTGTCCGCCACCTTGGCTGCACACTGCCCATACTCGTTGCCGCCTGGGAGGGGAGGAACACAGGGTGACATAATGATGAAGTAACAGGGTTACCACATCAGCTTGTTGCCGTGCAGCTTGTCCGCCACCTTGGCTGCACACTGCCCATACTCGTTGCCGCCTGGGAGGGGAGGAACACAGGGTGACATAATGATGAAGTAACAGGGTTACCACATCAGCTTGTTGCCGTGCAGCTTGTCCGCCACCTTGGCTGCACACTGCCCATACTCGTTGCCGCCTGGGAGGGGAGGAACACAGGGTGACATAATGATGAAGTAACAGGGTTACCACATCAGCTTGTTGCCGTGCAGCTTGTCCGCCACCTTGGCTGCACACTGCCCATACTCGTTGCCGCCTGGGAGGGGAGGAACACAGGGTGACATAATGATGAAGTAACAGGGTTACCACATCAGCTTGTTGCCGTGCAGCTTGTCCGCCACCTTGGCTGCACACTGCCCATACTCGTTGCCGCCTGGGAGGGGAGGAACACAGGGTGACATAATGATGAAGTAACAGGGTTACCACATCAGCTTGTTGCCGTGCAGCTTGTCCGCCACCTTGGCTGCACACTGCCCATACTCGTTGCCGCCTGGGAGGGGAGGAACACAGGGTGACATAATGATGAAGTAACAGGGTTACCACATCAGCTTGTTGCCGTGCAGCTTCTCCGCTACCTTGGCTGCACACTGCCCGCCTGAAAGGGGAGAACAGATGGTAACACAGTGATGAGGTAACAGGGTTACCACATCAGCTTGTTGCCCCGTGCAGCTAGTCTGCCACCTTGACTGCACACTCCCCGTACTCGTTGCCGCCAGAATAGCTTGTCTGCCACCTTCCCTGCACAGTGCCTGTGCAATTGCAGGGTAACAAGGTAACGTGGCGATGGACACAAAGTACCCAGGTAACATGACAGAGTTACCTGGTTACCACATCAGCTTTGCTGGGCAACATACTTGGCCTGCATGTTGGCACCCTTGGCCTGCATGTCGGCACCCGAGCGAGAGGGAAACGAAGAGCATGAGACAACATCGCAGATGCTTGTTTTGACAGGAGAAGTTGATACTTTCCCTGAAGTAGGCTCAACATTGCCAGCAGAGCAACCCTGCAGCATGACAGCATGACAGCATGAGAGCATGAGAGCATGACAGCATGAGAGCATGACAGCATGACAGCATGACAGCATGACAGCATGAGAGCATGACAGCATGACAGCATGAGAGCATGACAGCATGGCAGCATGGCAGCATGGCAGCATGGCAGCATGGCAGCATGGCAGCATGGTAGCATGGCAGCATGAAATGCGTTGCAATGCAAAGCAATGTAACGAACGGAGCAATGCAATGAAGAGCATTTGTGGCAGAGCGAGAGTGATCCGAGGTGGGGCGAGGGCAAGGAGGGAGGGACAGCCTCGAATCCCAGGAGTGGAGTGGGCAAGGACGGACGGACGGACCCACCCCAGGAGAAAGCCGTGCCCTTCTCGTTCACGGCTAGACAGTGCCACCCTCCAATGGCTGCCTGCCACGTCAGCAGTGCAAACGAAAGGAATGGGCGGCAGGGATTAGCATTCATAACAACAGATAACGACGCCGGCTAACAAAAAGGATCTGAGTCAGCACACATGCATGCTGAGTCAGCTCACCTGCACAATCTTCTCGTCTTTAAGCGACTCCACCTGCACGTGACACGGGAGAAAGGAAGCGTTTAGCACGCAAGGTATGGGCACAGTGGTTGGCGTCGCACGTCAAGGAGGAAGGCGTAATGGCGCAGTGTATGGCATGTGATGTGATGTGATGTGATGTGATGTGATGTGATGTGATGTGATGTGATATGAGCTCAGCTCACTCTTGAGGGCTCCCAAATGGTGCAGTGCAGAGGCAGCAAGGGAGCTAATGTGTGGCAAGAGTTAATTGGCAAACGCGTGACACGCTTGGATGGGAAGGGAGAGGCAGGTGGCACGGTTGAGAAGGCTTGGCGCAAGCGAGTCGTGATTGAGGTTCTTGATTGCCCCTGACCTGGCAGGGGACGGCTTCTCTCGGGGCGGCGGGGGCGGGCGGATGGCCCAACGTGCTGCGCTGGTTCCACCCCCACACGAACACCTGGGGAAGAGGGCGGGTGTTGGGGAGGACAACGGGGGAGGGGAAGGGGGGCTTAGAATAAGTGCTAGTTCCATTCTTAGATGGAAGGAGGGGAGCTTGAAATCATTGGTGGTTACATCCTTAGATAAACACCATCAAGTGGGTGAAGCGATGCGGGTAGAAGAGCATTGATACGGGCCGGCTGGTATGGTTGGAGTGGAGAACGGCAGCCCGAAGGGGGGGAGTAAGGAGGAAGCAAGCGGAGGTTGAAAGGGGTTTAGGAATGTGGACTGGACAATGGACATGCGAGGTGCAGCGGAAGCACGTCGCCAGCAACGATGCTTACACCGCTCGCCCCTGCTGCACCCCTGTTTATCCACACCCCTGCTGCCAATCAACTGAGGACCATCCCACCCCGCATGACACATACACCTCACATACCTCCTCCAGAGACACACACACACGCCGCCCCTACAATCACCCGGGCATCGTGGGTGAGCGAAAGGGAGTTGCGGCGGCTGCGCACCAGCTGCACCAGCTGCACCACAGGCGCTCCTGCAGCCTGGCAGCGCCAGAGGCTTACAGAATGACAGAAGTTCGCTCCCAGCAGTCGCCCTCTATCACACCCGGCCGTCATGGTCATGCGTGAGAGCAAGGGGATTGAGTTTTGAGACGTCTCAAAACCCATTTCTGTTGCCGCCCACCAACTCATTTCTGCTGCCGCCCACCAGCTGCCCACCCCAGCCAGCACTAGAGGCTTACAGAATGACAGACGCACATTCCCGGCAACCACCCTCGCTAGCAACCAGCCTCGCTAGCAACCAGCCTCGCTAGCAACCAGCCCAGCAAGCACACTCCACTATCTCTCTCACCCGGCCGTCCTGTGTGAGAGCTAGGGAGTTCCTGCTGCCGCCCACCAGCTGCACCACTGGCGCTTCTGCCAGCGCCAGACGCTTACAGAATAACTGAAGCAGTTCCCATCACCCTCGATCTCACCCGGCCCCAGCAAAGCAGGCACACTCCGCTGTATCTCACCCGGCCGTCCTGTGTTAGAGCGAGGGAGTTCCTGCTGCCGCCCACGAGCTGCAGCACATCCGCCCCTGCCAGCGCCGGCACCAGCTGCAGCGCTGCTGAGTGCGCCAGTGCGCCCGTGCCCAGCTGCCCATCCTCGTTCGCTCCCCTGAAAGGGGGGGAGAAGGGTGGAGAGGGGGGGTGGTGTGGGGATGCATGGAGGGAGAGAACGAGTTGAATTGATGGTGTGGGGAGCGGGAGGCGGATGGCGCTTCTCCCTGCCTCGTGCCTGCTGAGTGCGTCAACGCGCCCGTGCCCAGCTGCCCGTGCCCAGCTGCCCGTGCCCAGCTGCCCGTCCTGGTCCGCATCCCTTTGGGGCAGGGCATGCGCGGAGAGGAAAGGGCGAGTTGGATTCATGGGGCTTGGGTCGGGAAGGGGGGAAGGGAGATGCGCTCCTCCGTGCCTGACGGCGCTTCAGGGTGCGTCAGTGCGCCCGTGCTCAGCAGGCTGGTCTCAGCAGGCTGGTCTCAGCAGGCTGGTGTGGTGCCTCTCCCAGCGGTGAGAGAGGCATGGCGACACAAGACAGTGGGGCAGGTCGGAAGGGGGGAGATGCGCATCTCGCTGTGCCCAACTGCCCGCCCGCCTGCTGACTGCGCAGGGAGGCTGCGAGGAGCGGAGTGGGGAAGTGAGGATGGGGGAAGAGGGGGAGGTGGGGAGGTGAGGTGAGTATGGGGGAAGTGGGGGAGGTGGGGAGGCGGCGCAGGCAGAGGGGCACTGCCCGGCGATCCGGCCCACTCCGCCCTCGGACGAGAAAGGGCTTGAGAGGCAGGGGGACGGGGTTCAAGTGGGGGCGAGGGTGGCGGAAGAGGGGGAAAGGGAGGAGGGGCTGTGGGGGGTTGTGGGGGGGGTGGTGGAGACGGGGGATGGAGAGGAGTTATGGGAGAGGCGGGGGAGGGAAGAGCGATAGCCAGAGTTGACCCAGGGAGACTGTCGCTGGGCTTGAGGCCCCAGCACGGGCCCTCCAGTGCTCCTCCACACCGCACGTTGCGGCTTCTGAGTCCGCTTAACAACGTCTCGCCCCCAACGGTCGCGCCTCAACGCTGGTCAGCATTGGGAATTCTCTGCCCGCCCGTCTCGCAGTGCTCCACAGCGACGCCTCGAATCTACTGCCGGCGCTGCAACTGCCATCTCACACAACGCGTGTTTTGAGGAGCCTGAAAAGCTGCTGCTGCTGGCATCACACAGCGCGTGCGACGAGTGAGACGCGTGCGGGCGGAAACACTACGACACCAGTGGCCGCCAGCGCCAGCCCGCGGATTCGCAATCCCCGGCGAAGGGACGACTCGCGCGCGAGGAATGACCATGCAGGTAGCGCCGGACAGGATCGGCTGCTCAGGGGAAGCGGCTGCTACGGGTGGCGGCGGCGTGTGGGGAAGCGGCACAGACGAGCTTGCGCCTTCCCTGCCCTTGCGGCCTCGCGGAATTGCGGACGACGCAGCAGTCGCCACAATTGACGCGATGATTTGAACCCTAACTGCTGGCTACACTCCAAGCAGCTACATACCAGAGCGGAAGACGACGGAGGAGCGTGCGGTACGCGTTATAGCAACGGGTTTAGCACTCGAAGCTCACCATGAATAGACGAGTTTCCGGCAACCTTCAACGGCAGTCGCGCGGTCCTGCGCCATTCGAGGAGACTAGCGGAGGAGTGTCAAACGTACGGTAGCTGGCAGTGGCGCGTGACAAACCTCTACTTCATAGGCCCAGATAGGCGTTGAAAAGTTGCGGAAGGACGTGTGGGCGGATCATTACAAGTTTCTCATTACTATACCAGATCAGCTAATCAAGAACATCCACGTTTCTAATTAACTTCACACCTAAGAATGTCTTCCAATACAGCATTTGGTATCAGCATCAGACAATGAATTGGGTACAACTCCTCAAGCTGATTACATTGATTCGCAAAATTGTGCCTGTAATAATGTAATATATCATTCCGATAGCCCGTGATCACACGGTACAACAACAAAATGGGGGGTCCTAACAAATGGCACTGGATTTATAAGACCCGGGCTGAAGGCCCAAATTGCGGGCTGCGCAGGGCAAGATTAGTAATCTTGCACACTTCTCGTTTTTTGTGCTGTAAATTGGCGAAAATCTGGTTACGGTCGTTTAGACGCAATCTGATTGGTCGAGGCAACACTCACTGCCAAAACATCAAGTTTCACTACTCTGCAATTTGGGACTCGAGGTCCCCAAACGCACGCTCCCCCCTGAAGCTTGCTGACTCAGCGAAAAGACAAGTGTTGCGGCGAAATCAGAGAAGTCAACAACCCACACCCCCTAGCACCCAAGCTTGCGCAATATTACTAATCTTGCGCAATTTGGGCCTTGAGCTTTAATATAAGGCTTTTATTATCACATCCAACATGTGAATGGTGTTGAGGAGTGGTGGGTGTTGTGACCAGAAGGTTGATCGTGCCTAGGATCACCTCAGGAAGGTTCGCAGTAATAGAGTGTTGCAGCGGAAGATGTTGACCTCAGATCATAGTGGATTTAAAATGGCTGAGATGATTAAAAGCATGCAAATACATTCGTATAAATACGAGTACAGGGGAATACGAAACGACCTAACTAGCCATGTACTCTAAGGGGTGCATTCCCTTATTACAGCAAAATCCAACCGTGCGGCTCCAGACGGTTACAACTGTTCCTGGCAGAATCCTCGCCACTGCAGCTGCCCGATGTTGTCTGCTCCGACGGTCCAGATCCTTCGTAACTTACGCAACCCTTCCCGTCATTCCGTATTTTCACCTTCGTACTCCCTACAGTCAGGGGTGCAATGCAATGTACTTTTCACCATTTACCATTCGTAACACCCCCCTTCACTCCTGGCCGTAGCAGGTATTGACCCGCTTGACTACTCCGCTGAGTTCGGAGTAGTGCTGGTACTGCGGACGGGGCAGTCACTTCTTGAGGAAGTCGGCTGCCATGTCACCTGTCGGGCAATAGGTCAAGTCGACCTTGCCCTTGTCAACTTCGTCCTAGACGAAGAAGTACCGCAGCGCAATGTGTTTGGTGCGGTTGACGAATCCCGGTTTGTTCGCGATCCTGATCGTGCTCTGGTTGTCGCAGTGTAGGCGAAAAGTAGGCCATGTTGGGATTTTCGCCTCCTGCAGGAGCTGTCAAACATTATATATGTTATAGTTGTGTAGGCTACAGTGGGTTAGCCTTTAGGGGGTACACTACTCTAGGGTTTGGTACTTGTACTCCCATCTCTTTCTAGTTCCACCACTTCTCATTTCTAACATGGTATTACGAGCCTAGGTTGGGAACCTAGGACCACTTACCTAAGGGCCCACCGTTCCGCTAGAAGCGCCCTCGAGCGCCCTATCGACTTATCGCCCTCGAGCGCTTCTCTCCTAGTGCGCCCTCGTGCGCCTCTCCTTCTCCTGCTGCCCGTGCGCAGCTCGCTAGTGCCGTGCGCGGCCCTTTTTTTTTAGCGCGCGTAGCCCGCTAGCAGCCCGCGCGCGGCCTTTTCTGCGCGCGCGCCGACCGTTAGCCGCCCGCACGACCAGCGCCGCCCACGAGCAGCCCACTAGCCGCCCGTAGACCGGCCCTCCTGGCCGTCCAGAGCGTCGCAGCCACGCCCGTAGGCCGCCGCGTCGCCCTTGTAGGCCGCCGCCCGCGCGCGACTGCAGCCCACGCACAGCCGCGGCCCGCCCACTACAGCCGCCCACGCGCAGGCCCACTGTCGCGCCGTGCCGCGTACCCTAGTCCGAGCCGCGCCGCGCCGCCCCGCCCGAGCCGCGCCGCCCGAACCGAGCCGCGCCGCCCGAACCGAGCCGCGCCGCCCTGACCGAGCCGCGCCGCCCTACTGTGCCCCACCTACTGCTACTGCTACTACTGCTACTGCTACTGCTACTGCTCCTACTGCTACTGCTGCTCCTGACACTATGGCTAGTCCTGCAGTGCTAGCTTTCGATGCAGAGGGCCGCCCGCTGCGTTTTGACACCTGGCTCGAGGACCTCCACCTGTTCCTCCAGCTCACTGCTAAGGAGGACATTTCACTGTATGACCATGCGTTAGGCCTCGCTCCTGCCCCTGCTGCGACTGCTGACAGTACTGCCCGCTCACAGTGGCAGACTCGTGACGCCCACTCTCGCTTCGCCATTCGCAACTCCCTGCCGGTAGATGAACGCGAGCACTTTAGCCAGCAGAAGACTGCTCAGTCACTGTACACTGCTGTCGTTGCGCGTTACTCCTCGCCTGCCTCTGCTTCGCTAGGCCGCCTCTCACTGCCCTATCTGTTCCCAGACCTGTCCACCTTCTCTACCGTCGCTGACCTCATTACTCACCTCCGCACTAGTGAGATCCGCTTCCGTGCTGCTCTGCCCGCTGAGTTTTTTGCCAAGAACCCCCCCCCGCTGTGGCTCACTCTTTATCACCTGGTCACCCGTCTCCCTGACTCCCTTCGTGCGGTCAGGGACCACTTCCTTGCTCTCTGCCCCACCGAGCTCACGATTGACCTGCTTGAGAAGCACCTGCTGGCAGCTGAGACTAGCATAGTCGCTGTCGGTGCCTCTCGCGGCGACCCCCGCACCCCTTTCTTCGAGGGGTGTTCCCCCTCCCCTCTTCTCCCCTCTGTCGCCTCTGCTGCTGCTGTCGACCTTCTTGGTGCTGAGAAGGTCGGGACTGCGTCCACTGCGAGTACGTGGCGCCGCAGCGGCAAGGGCAAAGGGGGCAAGGGGGGCGGCGGTGATGATGGGGGAGGCGGTGGTGGGGGCGGTGGTGGCGGTGGGGGTGGTGGCGGGGCTGGAGGGGTCAGTGGCAGCGGCGGGGGTGGTGGCGGCAGCAGCGGGGGTGGTGGCGGCAGCGGCGGGGGTGGTGGCGGCAGCGGCGGGGGTGGTGGCGGCAGTGGTGGAGGAGGTGGCCGGGGTTGGGGCGGTGGTGGTGGCGGCAGTGGACGCGGTGGCGGTGGTGGCGGTGGTGGTCGTGGTGGCGGCGGCGGCGGTGGAGCTCGTGGAGGCTCTGGCGGTGGCCAGCGCCAGCAGCATACCCTGTCGCCCCAGGAGCTTCGTGAGTGGTACTCTCAGCGTGGGGGGGGTGGCCTTAGCTGCCCGTACTGGATCCGCACAGGTGACCGCACTGGTCAGACGTGTGGGAGGGCGCACACCCAGCAGCGCTGCTTCTGCCGCCTCGACGACGCTTGGCGCACTCAGTTTCCTGCTGCTACTGAGACGCCCCGCTGGTTTGATCTGATAAAAAAGAACATTGATGTCTATGCTCTTGACTTTGATGCTATCCTTGGTGCCATGTATGTGTTGTCTGCTAGTGGAGAGGGTGACTGTTATCTGCGTGTCCCGCCCGACCCGGGCATTAGGACCAGTGAGGCTGCTGCACTAGGTGCTAGTGTGTCTGCTGCCCCAGGTACTGGTGAGCTTTCCGCTCTAGGTGCTAGTGTGCTTGCTGCCCCAGGTGCTGGTGAGGCTGCTGCTCTAGGTGCTAGTGAGTCTGCGCTCGCTGGTACTGCGTCTACTGAGGCACTGCACACCTTCACACTGGACTCGGGTGCTTCCCGCTGTTTCTTTCGTGACCACACTGCCCTTGAGCAGCTTGCTCGGCCAGTTGCAGTCTCCCTCGCTGACCCCTCTGGGGGTCCGGTCATTGCGACCTCCTCCACTGTCCTCCCTTGTCCTGCGGTTCCGTCGGGCACACTGTCAGGTCTCTACCTCCCCTCGTTCTCTACGAACTTGGTGGCGGGTCGTGCGCTCCAGGACGGGGGTGTCCACCAGTTCACCCCTGCCTACGAGCGCGTGACACACTGCACGTGTGCTCGGACGGGTCGCCACCTGGCTACCTTCACTCGGCAGCCGGGGTCGGACCTGTACACACTGACCACTGAGTCCCCTCAGGTAGCTGCGTCTACGTCTGCGTCAGGTCAGCTGTCTGCCCCCTGCTCGTGTCGCTCTCTGGCACACGAGACCGTCCTCTGGCACCACCGCCTTGGTCACCCGTCAGTGCAGCGCCTTCGTGGCATGCACTCCCGGTACCTTGTCTCTGGTCTTCCCAGGGTTCTCCCTCCCCTCCCACCCTCGCCTGCTCCTCCCTGTCTTCCCTGTGTCGAGGGGCGGCAGCGCACCGCTCCTCACTCCTCCTCGTTTCCCCCGACGACTGCTCCCTTGCAGACGCTCCACATGGACGTGTGGGGCCCAGCCCCCGTCCGAGGACAGGGTCACGAGAGGTACTTCTTGATAGTTGTTGACGACTACTCGCGCTACACCACGGTCTTCCCCTTGCGCACCAAGGGTGAAGTCCCTGATGTTTTGATCCCTTGGATCCGCGCTGCCCGTCTCCAGCTCAG